ATGTGAGAACGGCATACCATGCGATATTCCCTGCTTACACATGTACCTGATCATGACATGTAAAAATTATTTTATCTTTAAAGTTACATCGTATGATTGCAGTGGCGCAGAGCGACCTGTCTTCGCTGGTAGGGCTCTCCCCAACCCTAAGGTAGCGCACTTTGAGTCACTGCAACCTACATGTTAATAATAATAAGAAGGGTAGTCTCACAATAATCTAATGTCGATATTGATCCCTATTCCAAGTGTTTTTTATGTTAAACAAACTATTTTAAGTTCTAGGAAACAGCCAACTGCAAGTATTTTATATGTACCAATGGAATTGATTTATATTTTGTACAAGTATTTTATATGTATTAATGAACATAAATGTAATTGTGATATGTGACACTTAAATAAACAAATTGAACCTGAACTTGAACTTGTAAATATGTCATGCGCTAGCGGGCTGTGAAATGTTGCCCAAAGTGTACATAATTGAGAGAAGTTTGGTTCCATAAAAGAACAATAACCTGTCACTTTTGATATTATAATTTAAAATTATTTCCATCGTTTTCGATATTTTTTAAAAGAGACAACTGTCATCGTGTACATTTTATCCCTCTGCAAAAAGTTTTTCCCAAGGGATACAACTCTCACAATGTTCAAAGTGATTGTAAAATGTAAAATAAGTAAGTATAATGCCATTGTGTATATTTTGTTCTTTTTTTGTACTATTTTTTGTATGAAACGTTGTTTCCTGCTTACTTTAATCTTGTAGATAATCACTTTTATCCATACAATTTCAATAAAAAAAACACTTTGTGTATCGTGTTTCATATAGTTTGTGATAAACAAAATATGTGTTGGATAAATTCGCAATGCTTCTTTTCATTTTTATTGTTGTTATTGTCCCAACCAATTCCACACGTCAAAAAAGAGGCAAATATTTAAATTGACGAAACTCCCAGTCTATTGGAACGCTTAGATTTTCATAAAATCCCTTTACATAGTTGCATAACCAATGTGTGAAAGTTTCAACGAATTTTGCTTGTTATTTTCGTAAGGGTTGAGCCTCCTTAAAACTTCAAAGTATAAAAAAAACTAGGCAAAACGCTAATTGGAAAAAAAATATTACAAATAAAAATAGCTAGTCTCGTCAGAAAAAAAACCATAAGAACAACCACATGTTCCGAAAGAGTCAGTACTTCCTTGTTCATCAACGATGGACGTCGTTTAAATCTTTGTTAAAACACTGCAAAGTGATATTCCTGGGTAGTCAGTCACTAGTGAACTTAAACCACTATGAATAGTAAGAAGTGTAATCAAAAACGGTAATAGTCGTATCGCGTTATCATTCGTCAGGTTATCCTATTATTAGCCTAATGTTGGCCGGGACATACCAAAGTCCCTAAAAATGGTAGTTGTTATTTCCTGCTTAACATTCAGCATTTAGGGTAATGGCGAGTACAACTGGTTCACCCGTTGTCAGTGTAATGTAAACGGGCGGAATGTGGTGCTTGAGTGCCTGCGGCATGGTATTTCAATGAGATATCACTATAAAGTCGGCATCAGACCGCGATCCACATACTCAACACACATGGAGGCACGTTCTTAAATTACCTTAGCTGTTTATAGGACGTTAAACAGTATACAACCAAACCAAATCGATTGAACGATCATTAGTAAAAGAGTTGCTGCCCTGGTATCAGTTGTTATCTTGTTTATTAGACTGTATATCGTAGATAAAACAACACAATTCCACACCTCTATCCCCTAGGAAGCCATAACCTCAAATGGAACAAAAACACTATTACCTTTTTCCTAACAGCTTTAAATGTAAACTTATATATCATATTTGGGAATTATATTTATATATTTTATGTGTATATATGTTTGTTTTGTGCATACTAATTGGTTTTTATCAGTTTTATTATATTGGTCGGAGGCCGCCTTGCAACACATCCTTTCAAAAGAAATTAATTAATTACACGATGACACAAGAAGTCAGTAAGATACTGTTTATAGAGACTTGCACATTCAATATCAGACTATTTCCCTTCAAAAACAGCTGACACAACAAATGTTATATTGCAGTGTGCTGCAATGAAAAAGTCAAGGGTATTGTGAAGCTCCAGTTGGCAATATCATTTTTAAAACTTACATTTTAACACTGCTCTCTGATTGGACGATTTATTGGGATTGGTTTGGTTTAATATTGTTTAACGTCCTATTGACAGCTTATGTCATTTAAGGACGTGCCTTCATGTGTGCACGTTATGCGTGCTTGCGTGTGTGTATGCAGGAAACAGGGTATGTGCTTGCCTCCTTGTGATAAATGTAGCGTAGATGAAATACCATGCCGAAGGAACCCAGCACAGCATTCCGCCCGGTCACATTATACTGACAACGGGTTAACAAGTTGTTGCTATTCGCCCTTGAACGTTAAGCAGGGAATAACTACTACAATTTTAAAGACTTTGGTATTTCCCGGCCTGGGGACAGAACCCATTGCCTGTCTATGTACTTGATTCTAGTACCATGTACTATTCACCCTGTACCCCGTACCCTGTACCCCGTACCCTGTACTCCGTACCCCGTACCCCGTAAACTGAATTTTTTAACAGCACAATCATTCGATACGATATGTATCTTGATACACATATCTGACTTTAAAGTTAGTTTCACAATACATGTAGCTTTACGATGTTAATAGTAAATACAGTTCAAATATATTTTTATACGTTTTTGTATCACTGCACAGTAGATAACATCGTTTCTGGTGTTTAAAAAAAGAATCGGTGAACTCACAAATCGAATTTATTTAAACTTTGATTGATAATACCCGAAATGAAAGTGTATTTCCTTATGCAAGCAAACAAATTGTTTTGCAACACAATACACAACAAAGTCTTGCGAAGCTGAACGATTGAATGAATTGTTTCAGTCTACGCTGTACCCTGTACCCCGTACCCTGTAACCCGTACCCTGTACCCTGTATTTTCACAGCACAATACATTCGATACGATATGTATCTTGATACACATATCTGACTTTAAAGTTAGCTTCACAATACATAATACAGTTCAAATATATAAAACAAAATCAGCTGTTGTACGTTTTTGTATCACTGCACAGTGGATAACATCATTTCTGGTGTTTAAAAAAAGAATCGGTGAACTCACAAATCGAATTTATTTAAACTTTGATTGATAATACCCGAAATGAAAGTGTATTTCCTTAAGCAAGCAAACAAATTGTTTTGCAACACAATACACAACAAAGTCTTGCGAAGCTGAACGATTGAATGAATTGTTTCAGTCTACGCTAGCGCTGTACCCTGTACCCCGTACCCTGTACCCTGTACCCTGTACCCTGTACCCCGTACCCCGTACTGTCACAGCAGCATACAATCGACACGATATGCATTTTAATACAAATATCTGCTTGAAAAATAAGTTTTACAATACATGATTTTAGACCGGTATACCTCCCAATAGGTAATCAACGAAAACTAAGGGACAATTTAGTTAAGTAAGTTTTCACCTGAAAATCAAGTCGATACTGAAAATATTTATCTCCTAACGAAAGTTTACGTAGTTGATAATGACATGACCTAAAGCAAACGTCCAGTGTGGTCAGTTTCATTTATTTGGAAAGCCGGTGATAAAAGCTACGACCGAAAAAGTGGCAATATCCGGGCCTTTCAGTGAAAGGTAAACATGTACAGCACTACATATACGCTGTCGACCGACAACACAGTGCGAGTCATTCTTGAATTTATAAATATCATAATATCTACCTCTAATCAGATGATTCTGTTCACGTTTGGATTTGAATACATGCACGCAATGAGAGGTTGCCGCAGGGAGAATTTCAAACCGCAGAAAGTACGATATCAATAGGTTTAAACTTAAAATAGATCACTCATTTATAACGATGCTTTAGATGCTGTTGAAAGATGATTTTGATTCAAAATAGTTGCATATAATGTATTCCGAGAGGCTAGGCGAAAAAAGCGAGAAGTGACCCTCTCTTCGGCTGGAAAGACCTTTTTGTTAGCAATAACGTACGGCTGTACAGTGAATGATTTCTCCATTACTGATTTAAAACATTGTCTCTTGTCAATTTCTCGACATGAATTGTTCATAAGGAGTATCAAACTATAGAATCATGAAGAGTTTTGTGACAAGGTTATAAAAAAACTTACTTCACTAAATTGTCCCTTTAAGCTCTACACGACCTTGGTAAATGAATGAACTTTAATTAAAATGTCATTTCGTATCATTCATTTGGGTCGCTAAAGAGATTGATATGTTACAAATCCTATGAACTATTTCTTACAAAGTTGTTAGCCTTAACACCTTATTACCTACTACGTTAACCTCGTAATGCACCATTTTAATAGTTTATTTATCAATTCAATATATTGGAGTTACATACACGTACACATGTTCGGATCTTCAAGTTTGGTATTTACATATAACCTTTCAGGTAAATGAAGTTTAGGGTGACTGAAGCATCTTTCATGGAAAATGTTGAACATTAAAGGTACCGTTCCGCTAACTGTCGCTCTTTTTTCCTACCTGCAATATTCAAAAGTGACATTGACTTGTTACTTTCCGTATAATATTCAACATTTGATATAGCGCCCTATCTAAATAACATAAGCCACTCTAAAGCGCTTTACAGTACATAGATATACAATTTTATACAGTCAATACAATTAGCATATATATATTACTCAATTCAATATTGAGGAATTCGCAGGAGCTGCCTTATCAGGCGCTAACTACTAGTCCTATGCCACCTGGCTAATAGTATGCCTGTGTGTGTGGTGGAGATGTATTGTGTTCTGTTTGTAGTGGGACCGTGCTTCCAACGGTATCATTTCTAGTGACCTCACTTGAATGCGACATCACAGATACCGCAACACCCACCCAGGACCATTTTATACTCCACCTGGGTTGTTGGAGTTGTGTGGGCAGGAGAAAAACACTTTCTCTAATATTCCATGCGTACGGCGACTTCGGGGATCGAACCCCAGCCGCCTGCTTGGAAGGCCGGAGTGTTAACCACTCGACCAATTCGCCCATATCCATAGTTATACTGATGACATACTAAGGCGAAACTAGAAAAACATTGGTGAGCAGACCAAGTTAGTTATTTGTATCACGCGTGATATTTCCTTGGAAAAGGATTGGTTATCTACTCAAGCAGTACATTTTACGACATATTCATACACTAAGCAGAAATTTTGAATGCTACATGTATGTCGACATATGGGCTGTGTGACACGTGTAAGGTATGACTATGGTGTGTGGTCTGTGTAAGGTATGACATATACATGTATTTATGGTGTATGGTCTGTGTGACACGTGTAAGGTATGACATATACATGTATGTATGGTGTATGGACTGTGTGACACGTGTAAGGTATGCCATATACATGTATGTATGGTATATGGTATGTTTGACACGTGTAAGGTATGACATATACATGTATGTATGGTGTATGGACTGTGTGACACGTGTAAGGTATGCCATACACATGTATGTATGGTGTATGGTCTGTATGACACGTGTAAGGTATGCCATATACATGTATGTATGGTGTATGGACTGTGTGACACGTGTAAGGTACGACAGATACACATGTATGTATGGTGTATGGACTGTGTGACACGTGTAAGGTATGTCATATACATGTATGTATGGTGTATGGACTGTGTGACACGTGCAAGGTATGACATATACATGTATTTATGGTGTATGGTCTGTGTGACACGTGTAAGGTATGACATATTCATGTATTTATGGTGTAAGGGCTGTGTCACACGTGTAAGGTATGCCATACACATGTATGTATGGTCTGTGTGACACGTGTAAGGTATGACATATACATGCATTGATGGTATATGGTCTGTGTGACACGTGTAAGGTATGACACATACATGTATGGTGTAAAGGATTCTAAAATCTGTACGAGGGTAATACTATTTTTATAATGCGAATTGATGTTTTAATTAAATATTTGGAATTTAGTCTGACTTCTTGAGAAAACGTATTATATCTTTGCATACAATGTTGACGTCATAATATGACGTTTGAAAGCCGCACTAAAATCTTGACCTTAATCAGTGTTTTAACTATGACCGCGAATGTAATATGTTACCCTTCTCTTCTAACTCCAATTACGTTCTTACGTACACAATCATTTGTTTATGCATGCATACGAGCTAACATCCTCGATATCCAGGGGTTACGCTCACTTTCGCTCTTTGCACCCCTGGAATATGTCATAGCAAAATTGAAGTGTGCGCCACCTTGTTGATGAGACAAGAATATACTACGATCACGTAACGGTAAAAATTGACAGGCTCTGAAGTCGGGCGTCCCTCCTTTGTAATCTTCAAAGGACACGACTGTAATATCAGACCGGAAGCATTTCTGTTTTCCGCATGCAATATAGCGGCAAGTTTTTTGATCACATAACATATAATTAGGCCTCAGTAGCTTTTGGATACAGCTTGTATAGGTACATGTTCTACAAAAGATCATACTCAGTATTTTGAAAATCACAAGCTGATTGAGTACACAAGGTGGGATTAATTGTTTGTAAAACATTGCTTATTGGTCGGTATTTATTTTGCAAGCTGAAAATCGCTGTGTAAACAACTTGTCAATTCCACGTGTCAAACCTTACCCATGGTTTTTGATTTTTAATTACACATTGTAATTAGCTTTGCTCTAATGAGATGTGTTCTTGTTAATATATTGTGATCTTCTTGATGTCAATTTCTGGACAAAATGACCGCTGAATACATGTCGAGATAACATCTCGGCCAGATTTTTGTGACCGCTGGCCGCATTAGACAGGTGGTTGCTTATTTCAGGTTCATTGTATATTTTTTTTTATCGGGCGGACCACAGACTGACCACATAAGGTGGCCGCTTATTTCAGGTGACCGCTCAAGCAAATTTGACTGTAGTTTGTTTGTCTGCATAGGATCAAATTATCCATCAATTCTTCAATAAATTCTTCACCTATTCTTTTTAAATACGTCCGAAACGATTTTATCAACTCTGCAGTGATACAAAATACGTAGAACAGTTCGAACAAAGATATACTTGAACAGTATTAACCATTTACATCGTAAAGCTATGACATCTGTATAAAATCCCGAAAATATATACTGTTTACTCTTAAAGTCAGATATGTGTATCAAGATATATATCGTATCGAATGTATTGTGCTGTTAAAATACAGTTTACGGGGTACAGAGTACAGGGTAGACTGAAACAATTCATTAAATCGTTCAGCTTCGCAAGACTATGTTGTGTATTGTAGCAAAACAATTTGTTTGCTTGCATAAGGAAATACACTTTCATTTCGGGTATAATCAATCAAAGATTAAATAAATTCCATTTGTGAGTTCACCGATTCTTTTTTAAACACCAGAAACGATGTTATCCACTGTGTAGTGATACAAAAACGTACAACAGCTGATTTTGTTTTATATATTTGAACCGTATTATGTATTGTGAAACTAACTTCAAAGTCAGATATGTGTATCAAGATACATATCGAATCGAAGGAATTGTGCTCTGAAAATACAGTTTACGGGGTACAGGGTACAGGGTACTAGAATCAGGTAATGCGCTAGGAAATAAAGATAGTTAGAAGTCGATAGAAAAATAAAGATCCCAAACATTGCAATGGGCGCAGCAGATTTATGTTGGCGCTTTTGTGTCGCTAAGTAGAGGACACCTAAGCAAC